CACCGCCGGACCGCCGCCCGGTCACTGGCCCGGGAGGGCCCTCCCGCAGCCACCGGGCCCGGGCTCCGAGACCCCTGCGCCGGAGGGGTGAGGCGAGAGGAAGGGCTCCTCTGGCAGCCGCCCCAAAGATAGCCCGGGTTCCTCCTATGGAAGAGACGGGAAACTGAGGCCGGGGGAGGGGCCTACAGCACAGGAAGTGGAGGCGAAGAGCGGGTAAAGCGCATTGGCAGATAGATACAAACAGGTTTCTTGATTTTTCTTGCTCCCTGGGAGGACCCTGGCCCTCCCCTCGCAGGCTGGGGGAGACTAATGACCGGTGCCACCCGCAGCTCCTGCGCCTTGTGTCCGCTGGAATGAAGTGCGTGTTCCTGCTGCCGCAGCTGCGGCCGGTTTCTGCCCCGCACCCCGGGGAGTCAGCGGCCAAGTAGGTCCCAGTAGCCAGAGCACGGAGAACTCTACCGCGCCCTGGGCGCGTGGGGTGGCGGAGATGAGACAGGCAAACAAGGCCTGGGATCTTAAAATATGCCTGGAGAGAGGGCGGGTGCCAACTGTTTGAAATGTTCCCAAAGCAAGAGGTGGACCTAATCTAAGCTGCTAAAGCTGCAACCCTCGCAACACGTGAAATGAAATTAGAGGCGGTGGGAGCCAAGATGAGGGCTTCTCAGAGGAGATCAGGTTTGGAACTTGGGACGACCACAGAGAGGAGGACTCCTGGGTGAGCTCCGTGTGCGTGTGTGCATGTGTGTGCTGGGCTGTGCACGCTCCTTTTCTGCATTTCACTCCCTGCCGTCCTGCAGAGTCGTCCTGCTCCTCTCCCAAGCCTGGCCCTCCCACACCAAGGAGAAGTTCCCTTCCCTGAACCACAGGCTCTGGGAGTCCGGAGTAGCAAGGGACCCTAAAGTTCACCAGGTATGATCCTCTGTCAAAGTAAAACCCCCAGGGCAGTATGTCTCCAGTTTGGGTGAGTGTGTGTATCATTTGGAAGAAAAATGCAAATCCCTGGGTCCTGCCCCTAATTTTTTCATTCTCTTAAGACTAGGATGGGGCCTGGGAATCTGTACTTTGCTCTCAAACAGTCATTTCAGAAGCACAGATTTTTGTAACTTTTCATCAGTTTCAACTCAAATGCCATTTGCTTTAAAAAGGCCTGTTCTTATTACCATCCACCAAAAGCAGCCTCCACCCCATCACTTTTGATCCCATTATCTCTTCTTATTCCCTTAGAGCACCTGTCCCTCCTGGGTCTGATCTCATTTGCTTATTGACTGTGTCCCCCACAAAGACCATAAGCTCCAGGAGGGCGGGGACCTTGCCTTTGGACATCTCTGTGCCCCATGCTCACCGCTATGCCTGCCATATAATAGTTCAGTACATACTTGCTGAGTGAGTGACTTGGGCCTGATTTTTTAAACAGGGAGGGGACTTTAGCTGCCACTCTGTTCCAGTCATGACTGGGGATTTTGGAAGCTGACATCATCCTGGGGGAAAGGCTTAGGATGTCACCGGACCTCCCTTCCTCACTCTCCCGCCAGCTCTTCCCTCACACAGCTCTCCAGCACAGAGATGCAGCCTTAGTGGAGTGGCATCACAGTCACAAAGAGCCCACAGGATAAGGTGGCTTTTCGGGGTCTCGCAGTCCAGCCTGGAGAAGAGGTCCAGGCTGGAAAGCATCACCCCCACAGGACCCGCCACCCTTGCACAAGCGGCACGTGGGATGGTGCTACGCTGGGCCTCTCCACTCCCCAGAGGGAGTGTGGCTGGGCCTGTCTGTTCTGCGGGGGGATCCCCCAGAGACCAGGGCTTTGGTTTTGCAGGTGTTGCATCTGAGGCTCCAGGTCACAGCCTACAAACCAGAGCACGCTCCCCTGCTCTGCTTTCTCACGCCTTTACTGAGCACCCGCCCTTTGCTGCTGGAGAGGCTGAAACGCTTGTCGTTGTCACCACTGCCCCTCCGGCTTCAGAGGAGGGGCCCTGCTCTTATTTGCCCTCCAGTGTGGGCAGCTCCTTCTGAAGCCCTCACGGCCCAGCCCAGACCAGGCTGCAGTTTCTGACAGAACTCCCCTGAAGCTTTAGAGACCACGTGAGGGACAATCCCAAGGGGAAAGAGTGGCTCTCAGGGCCGGGGCCAGACCCCTCCCTGTGGGCTCCCTCACAGCTTCTTAGGTGAGATCCAGACCCATCAGTGGGTCATAACATCAATTTACTGGGTTTCCAACCAGCATATCCACAAAAAGCAAATATCAGAGTGTGTTTAAGGAAGCAAAGGTAGAAGTTTTGTGACACTTTGTTTAAAGTATGAGTGTGTGCACATGACACTGTAACATGTAATATTTTCCCATGGGTCGTGGTCGTGGTACCACATGAGAAATAGTCTTTTTTTTTTTCGGTCATGTTTTTTAATACACTTTATTCTTTTAGAGCAGTTTCAGGTTCACAACAGAATTGAGCAGAAAATCAGAGTGACATGTAATGTATTTCGTCCTGTGGGTCGTGGTCCAAACCACATGAGAAATACTTTTTTTTTTTGTCTTGTTTGTTTTTTAATAGACTTTATTCTTTTAGAGCAGTTTCAGGTTCACAACAGAGTTGAGCAGAAAAGAGTTCACACATAGCCCTCCCCACCCACACATATATACTCCCCTACCCTCAACATCCCTCATCAATGTGGCATACTTGGTACAATCAATGAACCCACATGGGCACATTATTATCAACCAAAGTCCATAGTTTGCATTAGGGTTCACTCTTGATGTTGTACATTCTCTGGGCTTTGACAAATGCATAATGACATGTAGCCACCACTATAGTATCACATAGAATAATTTCATTGCCCTAAAAATCCCTTGTGCTCCATCTATTCATCGCTACCTACCTCCCTCCCTCTCCCCAAACCCCTGGAAACCACGATCTTTTTATTGTTTCTGTAGCTTTGCCTTTTCCGGAATGTCATTTGGTTGGAATTGTACAGTTTGTAGCCTTTTCAGACTGGCTCCCACAGCTGCCAGGGCCAAGAGCACCACCCTGCCATGCAGAGAACTGACTGGCTGCCTTGGACTGTCAGCCCCTGCGTCAGGTGATCAGGGGGCAAATGGCTCTTCCTCAGAGTCGTCAAAGCCCCTTCCATCTCCTCCCCAGAAGGAGTCCACATCATGCTTCACACTAGTGAGTGCTGTCTACCTGCAGGAAAGGGCAGCGAAGGGGCTGACCAATCTCACCGGGTGCACAGGACTGTCTAGTTGGATGATTTAAGGCAGCTGCAGTGAGGTGATGGGGAATTATAAAATGAACTTAAAACATTTTTTTCACAATTAAAGGAAGGAAACTAGAAATAAATAAAACACAAATCCCATAAAATCCTGTGGTTCTTGGAGCAGAGGTTACTTACACCTAATGAACGAGGTTCTACTCCCCACCCCAGAGGAGAGGTGGGCTCAGGCAGGGCCTGAGACAGGAGACTGAATCTGTCCTAGGGCGCAAAAGGAAGTCATCACAAGACAAGGAGAGTCCTCCTTCAGACTCCTAAGTACCGTGCGTGGCCCAGAAAGGACAAGAGTGGGAAAGGCATGCCACAGAAAGGGTTTCACAGAGCAGTTCATCCTTTAATTTTCCTCTTGCTTCGAGGAGTCCTGCTATGATAAACACATTCCATTAATAGACATTACTGGTCCATTTAAGAAATAGCAGGTGCATTATTAATGTTGCTCCAATACAGTCAACAGGAAGAAGGAAGCCCGTCTCTGTGGGGAGCATTTCCGAGTCCATCAGCATCTCTGTGACCCACAGTAATTGATGGGTGGTTACTTGTTACTCGTGAGTGTGACCAGGGGAAAAACTCCACTGAGATATCACTTCAGAAGAGTAAACTGTCCCATTTAAAAAAAAAGTAAACTATCAAATGCTGGTCCCATGGGCACTGAGAAGGACAAAGATTCAAACTCGAGTCAACCAAGCCCACAGAGCAGCGCCAGCTCCAACAGGGAACGTGGAAGGGAAAGCTCATCTCGTTCCTGCTCCTGCTCCCTGCACGGGTTTCCTTCCCCACGGGCTCCACAACCTGGCTCTCATCCATCCCCGAGTTCACAGGACCGTGGCAGTGATGAAATGAGAGCAAGTGGGACATCCTTGTAAGAAACATGAGTGGCTGGGGCTCCCCCGGCTCCTTGTACTCAATCCTTCTAGATTCTTATTCTTTACTGCAGTCACTGTCCCCGCCTGCCTTTCTGGTCTCACAGTCCCCATGACACACACTGGCCTCAGGGGAATGGGCTGATACCTGTGATCATACCCTGCACTTTTCAACCCCCGTGCCTTTGCTCAGGCCAGGCTCTCCTCAGTACTTCCTGGCTTCAAGGCTCAGCTCACAGGGGTCTGTCTCCTTCATGGAGGCCTCCTGGGTCCCTCTCCTTCTCTAAATTCCCAAAGAACAGGATCTGCACGTTTCAGGGAGTTACAGCAGGGCACCTAGCTCCTAGGTCATACAGGGCTGAGAGGGCAGAAAAGGC